AACAATCCTATTAAACTATTCTATAAAGATTTTTCAGCAGTGCAAACAGATTTGTCAACGTTTTGTTTGTTATGTATCACTGATTATGCCACACGAATAAAATGGAGAAAAGGAAACAGGATCTGAGCGCGTCTAGCTGGGCTTTCAGTTATATGTGTGTAACCTGATCGAACCAATCTCTGTTGAACCTACATTCAAACTGTACTGGAGTATTCTGACAAACACAGCCTTAAGGTTCTGCTGTCGTCTGTGACATCTGTCCACAGTGGAGGCTGACTCACTTGTTATTGCTTGGTCCTGTGTTGAGCACTTCGGTCTGCAGTTTGGGGAAGAACCCCTGCTCGTACTTCCCCTGACCGATCTTCATGTCCAGCAGGTGTGGGAGGACGGCCGTGTGGTCGATCTTCATCAGCCGCTGCTCAATGGCCTGAGCTAAACAAGAGACGGTACAGATTCAGACAACACAGTAAGGACGTGAAATCATCACGGCATTTGGAGAATCCCAGTAGGTGTCACATTACTGAAGGTAATTCCAGATTTAAACGCTGCAGGCATGCATATGGATTTATGTGTCCACTGATTCCACCATCGAGATCGCATCTTATCTGAACACACACACACACACACACACACACACACACACACACACACACGTAATATATTGAGTGATATGTCGCGGTCCTTCACAGATAAGTTTTGCTGCAAAGAGTGACTCAGCTTCCTGTTTGTTCTATTCTGTGTCACTTCAAAACAGGCTGTTTATATATTAAATCACAGCATGATGTATGATGTTGTGGTTCAGTCTCTCTAGAGACCTGGTCTCACTGACTCTTCCTTGTTGATCCTTCTAAAGATTAAACATCATCAACAGCAGCGATTGCAAACACTCCATCTTCATCTGTCATGTGGTTTTACTGCGTTTGTCTCTGACTGAAGTCCTCAGAGAGCAGGTGGCGTGTTCTCTGAGTGGAGGCACTGGAGGGAGGCAGAGGAAAGGCCTGTCCATTGTCTGCATAATTAAGTATGCAGACCATTGCAAATGAAGTCACCCTTGGCAACTGCAGTTCACATGGATTAGTGCATGAACACACTGGACCACGGCAGCTCACTCGTACAAACAGTGTTAGCTTGAGCTGACATGTGAAGCGTTATAACCACTGTTGTCGATCTCAGCAACGATCATGAGAACTGGCAGGAAACCACAAGAACACCAACACTGTCAGAACATTGTGCTCCCTGCTTTTCTTTCTTATTCTTGTGTCATGTCCTGCATTTTTAGCATGCTAAAGGCACCAGCCCACACTTCATCCAAGGGATTATTTCTAGAAGCAACAGCTGGTCTGATAGAGACTACTCCTTATTGACTTCTGAATGTTGAGAAATTCCAGACAAGGCCAGGTTATTATTCTTTGCAATTGTTAATAAAGAGTTTATATGTTTTAAATGGTCATAAAGGGGGAGAGTTTTTTAAACAGGTGCCTGATAGGATTCAAAAAGCTCCTACGGACAAAGGCAGAGGTAATGCACGAATAGACAACAGATTAACAGGTGACTTAGCAAAAGAACCAATTTTAATTTGTGTCTTTAGGACTTTGACACCATTAGCCTTTGCAAAAAGTCATCATTTATTTTTCCTTTCTATAGTTGAATCACAGTTTGACAGGCATTACATCGACTTTTGCAGCATCAAAAAGTCCCAAAGAGCTGTTAGTTGTGTTTTAAAAAAATGAGAGTGGG